CCATCTCCTGCCGCTCTCCCATCGTCCCGTGCGCTCTCACACAGCGGGCCTCCTCAGGATGCCGTCGGCCAAACAATGTCGGCTGACGGCCCCCAAGATTAGAGCGTTCTCTGTGGGAGCCCGGACCCTCTGGAACGGATCGCCCACCATGCTCAGGACAGCCCCCGACCTCCTTTCCTTCCATCGCGAGCCGAAGACGTGGCTCTTCCGGCAACTCAACCGATCCGTTTGAGTGTACACCATTATAATTTTAAACCGTTTTAATTGGGGTGTTGATTTTAATTTTATTTTGCTGTGATTTGTATCTGAAATTGTCATTTTGTAAGTCGCCTTGAGTCCCTCGGGAGAAAGGCGGCATATAAATCGCAATAATAAATAAATAAAATAAATTATATTACATCAGCGTTGCGCTGACCCTGCAAGTCTACAGTACTAAATAGTTACAGTGTTCTATCGTAGACCGGTAGAAGGAGGTCATCCGTCGTCGTTCCACCTTGTTTTTCCGCAAGATCCTGAGGAAACGGAGTCTCCGTTGAGCCTTTTCGACTACCCCGGGTAGTCGAATATTATTTTTCCAGGCAAGATCTTCACTAAGATGGAGTCCCAGGAATTTGAAAGAGGAGACCCTCTCCACACAGCCTACCACCACGATAAAGTAATATCTCGATAGCTTCAAAGCTATTGCTAAGGGACGGAAAACAGTGCTCTCCTGTGGCCCAAGCAGATATAGCAGCCAGAAAAAAAAACAAAACCCTTTTTAATAGCATTTAAAGATTATTATTCTGTCTCTTTATTATTAAAAGCCTTATTAATATTAATAGAGCAACAGGAGGCCCAGGAGCTACATAACAGGCACAGAAGAAAGAATCCTGCTTCAAAAGCCTTAACCTGAGGTCCAAAGGTCTACAACGGCCTCCACGCTAAGGTTGACAAAAAACAGCGCTATCCTGCGGTCCAAGCAGGGATCGCAGCAACCAAAAGAAAAACTTTTTAAATGGAATTTTAGGGTTATTCTTCATTATTAAAACTTTATTAATATCAATGGGCCATCACAGGCCTCCTTAACTCCGGTTAAGGCTTTTGAAGCGGGATTTCTTTTCCAGTTCCTGTGTTGCAGCAAAGGGGCCTCCCGTCGCTTTAATAAATATTAATAAGACGTTAACAATAAAGATACAGGATAATAACCTTAAAATCCCATTAAAAGGGTTTGTTTTTGCGGCCGCGATACCTGTTTTGGCCACACGAGGGCACAGTTTTCCGTCCCATGACTTGAAAATGTTATGGTTAAGGTGCAGAAAATTGTGCCCTCCTGTGGTCAAAGCAGGTATCGCAGCCCCAAAAAGAAAGAAACCTTTTCGATGGCATTTTAAGATTGTTCCGTGCCAGCTCCGCAACCCTGGAGAAAACAGTGCCCTCCTGTGGTCCAAGAAGGAATAGCAGGCAGAAAAAAAAAGAAAAAAAAACCCTTTTTAATTGCATTTAAAGATTATTATTCTGTATCTTTATTATTAAAAGCCTTATTAATATTAATAGAGCAAAGGGAGGCCCAGGAGCTACATAACGGGCAAAAAGAAAGAATCTTGCTTCAAAAGCCTTCACCTGTGGTCAAAAGGTCTACAACGGCCTCCACGCTAACGTTGACGGAAAACAGCGCCATCGTGCGGTCCAAGCAGGGATCGCAGCAACCAAAAGAAAGAAACTTTTTAAATGGAGTTTTAGGGTTGTTATGCTATTCCTTCTTGGACCACAGGAGGGCACTGTTTTGTCCAGGGTTGCGGAGCTGGCACAGAAGAATCTTAAAATGCCATCGAAAAGGTTTATTTCTTTTTGCAGCCACAGTACCTCTTTTGGCCACACGAGGGCACAGTTTTCCGTCCCATGACTTGAAAATGTTATGGCTAACATGCAGAAAATTGTGCCCTCCTGTGGTCAAAGCAGGTATCAAAGAGAAAGAAACCTTTTCGATGGCATTTTAAGATTCTTCTGTGCCAGCTCCGCAACCTGGACAAAACAGTGCCCTCCTGTGGTCCAAGAAGGAATAGCAGGCAGAAAAAGCACGGTCGCCGATTTTTTCCGTACCAGCGCTTCTCGGAGCGACCTTCCCAGCGTCAGCGCAACTTTCCGTCCGTCTCCTGTGCAACCCCCATCGCCGTTGGTAAAAAACGACCTTTCAACTTTCATTTTTCATTTTTACTTTTTAAGGGCTGCTCCGGGTAAACCTTTACCTTTACTCCAACCTTTCTTCTCCCCTTCTGTTCCTTCCTCTCTCTCCTCCTACTTCCTTCGTTCTTCCTAAGGGTCCAAGCAGGGATCGCAGCAACCCAAAGAAAGAAACTTTTTAAATGGAGTTTTAGCGTTGTTATTCTTTATTATTAAAACTTTATTAATATCAATAGGCCATCACAGGCCTCCTTAACTCCGGTTAAGGCTTTTGAAGCGGGATTTCTTTTCCAGTTCCTGTGTTGCAGCAAAGGGGCCTCCCGTCGCTTTAATAAATATTAATAAGACGTTAATAATAAAGGTACAGGATAATAACCTTAAAATCCCATTAAAAGGGTTTCTTTTTGCAGCCACAGTACCCGTTTTGGCCACACGAGGGCACAGTTTTCCGTCCCATGAGTTTAAAGTGATCGCTAAGGTGCAGAAAATTGTGCCCTCCTGTGGTCAAAATAGGTATCGCAGCCCGAAAAAGAAAGAAACTTTTTAAATGGAGTTTTAGGGTTGTTATGCTATTCCTTCTTGGACCACAGGAGGGCACTGTTTTGTCCAGGGTTGCGGAACGGGCACCGAAGAATCTTAAAATGGCATCGAAAAGGTTTATTTGTTTTTGCGGCCGCGATACCTGTTTTGGCCACACGAGGGCACAGTTTTCCGTCCCGTGACTTGAAAATGTTATGGTTAAGGTGCAGAAAATTGTGCCCTCCTGTGGTCAAAGCAGGTATCGCAGCCCAAAAAGAAAGAAACCTTTTCGACGGCATTTTAAGATTCTTCTGTGCCAGGTCCGCAACCCTGGAGAAAACAGTGCCCTCCTGTGGTCCAAGAAGGAATAGCAGGCAGAAAAAGCACGGTCGCCGACTTTTTCTGTACCAGCGCTTCTCGGAGCGACCTTCCCAGCGTCAGCGCAACTTTCCGTCCGTCTCCTGTGCAACCCCCATCGCCGTTGGTAAAAAACGACCTTTTAACTTTCATTTTTCATTTTTACTTTTTCAGGGCTGCTCTTTTACCCTTTACCTTTATTCCAATCTTTCTTCTCCCCTTCTCTTCCTTCCTCTCCTCCTACTTCCTTCGTTCTTCCTTTGTTCTTCCTCTCCTTCTCTTTCCTACTTCCCCTTCCCTTCCCCCACTCCTCTACTCCTCTTCCCCCTCCCTTTTCTTCCTCTCCTTTCCCCTTTCTTCTTTCTCCTGTTCTCTCCTGTCCTCTGTTCTCCCTTCCCCTCTCTCCTGTCGTTTCCCTTTCCAGTTCAATCTTTTAGGGTTTAGGGTTTAGGGTTTAGGGTTAGGGTTTCATTTCGTCTCGTTTCCTGACTTCCGGTGGGACTGGAATCAGTTGGCCAACATGTGCATGCACGCTGGAGTTGAGCTTAATGTAAATGAAGCGGGCTCTGATAGATGACCACTGGATAACTTTCTATTCACTCGATTCTAAAAAGCAATGCATCCGGTTGGAAAAAGTACAACTCAGCCAAAATTTTGGTTCCTCTAGGAGGCCTCTAAGTTGTCAGAAGAAAGGAACATTCTAATGACATACAGCTTAAAGGTTGGTTAGGTCACGGGGATCCACATGAGTTAAAAGTTGTCTATCAGAAGATGATTTGAGTCTATGCTTCAGTAATCTACAAAAAGAATTATAACTGTTTTGCAAAGAAACTCAGTAATTAGGAAATGTCAATTAAAAATGACAAATGTATATGACCATATGAATTGCTGAGTTAACAGAATCCTTTGTCTAGAAGGGTATAAAACCATTGTACCTAATTTCTGTCTTTGTTCAACGCTTCACGTACAGAGCTTTGAACCTATTGCGCAATATACAAATTGTCTCTGATTAATCCAAAAGTTGTGTTTGTCTTATTAAATCCACAACAAGCTAGGGCAACCCTCGCGTGCCCACCAATATGGCTCCGCATGCCACAGGTTCATCATCACGGGACTAGAGCTTCCCATCTCCTCCCAAGGGAAGGGAAAGGAGGCACGGGGCAGGCAAGCCTGCAGGCTCCGGCACCCGTTCTCAGGACCTTTAGTTATCGCTTAGAGCTCTTCGCAGGTAACCCCGGCCTGCATTTTATGGAAAGAAGCTGGGGAGGGGAGCTTTTGTGCAGGGCCGTTGACACCATTGGGTGATGCAAAAAATCAAAATCCAAGGGAAACCATTAGAATGTTGTTGTTGTTGTGTGTGCGCTTATCTACATATACCCAGCTAGTTTAGAGACATAATACCATACAACTTTTGGCAATAAAGTTTCAGCCAATAGAAACTTCTGGCTCAACGATTCCAACACTTTAGGAAGTCTTTGACCGAGGAGCATTCGGGCGAATGCTCAACGGATGGAGAATGGAGCCGGAAGCCCTGCCGTGTTGCAGTTTGAAGCACCCGTGGGTGTGTGCAGAGATTAATCCACTCCGTCGGGAGAAAGAGCGCCTGTTTGGTGGATAGGAGAGTCTCGGGGCCTCTTGGTAGAGGTAGGCCGGTCGTGTTGCTTTTTGGAAGCAGTCTGACTCTTGTTAAGAACGACTGCAGTTTTTTGCAATCAAGTTGTCACACTTTAAAAAGAAATCATAAGTGCAAATTTTATATCCCGAATTGGAAACACACATCTTATTATTAGTCACTTTAATAGGGAGATTATCAAGAAAAATATATTCAGTAAAAATACCATACACGTGTGAAATGTATGTTAGTCTATTTAAGACTAAGGATGAGAGCAGGGCCCGAGGGATAAAGCCAGGGAGGCGTTTCCACACGCCCCGATCAGCTCTCTCCTCTTTCTCTCCTCTCGCAGACCCCTACGACCAAGCAACGATTGCCAAGGAGGAGGTGAAAGAAGAGGAGCCCCAGCCCTTTCAGAAGATCGGTCCAAGTACGATTGACCGAGTTTGCAACTTAAGTCATTCACTAGCTTTCAGCGTTTCAGAGCTGAGGTTTCAGGCCCAAGCCAGGGATGGAGCGTTTCTGGCAAAGGCAGGAAGCTCTCACTAGTCCAACAGAAAGAGCACATTCTTTGCCCGTGCGGGACCCGGACTCCATTCCTCTGGGCACGGCTGGTGACACGTCGGAAAATCTTCCTCGGATGTATCTTTCACCGGGGTTTGTTTAAGGAGCACCGATAGCAACCGCTAGGTTTTCCAAGGCGTAGCAGGCAGAATAACTCCCAGGATGCCCGAAAGCCGCTCGGTATCAGGTCTGCTCGTCGGTCCATCTGTCCCACGACTATCGGCACGGACCGGCTGCAGGGCTCTGAACATCCGTTCAAGCAGAGGGGTTTTTCCCAGCCCTTCCCTGGAAACGCAGGGGTGAACCCGGACCTTTTGCACGCAAAGCAACAGCTCGAACTCGGACTGCGGCCATCCGTCAGGAGACAAGCAACCTGCTTGCAAATAGCACTCCTAAGTAAACCAAAAAATTAATCTTCCACGTTTGACATAGAGAAGAAACAAACACGGTTGAGTCGGGGAATTATAAAATTATTCTCGCTTAACGTTACATACTTTTATAAGCATCTGGTTAAAACAATCCAATTTGGCCAAAGTATTTAGATGTAAATACTTTATTGCAAAGAGAAGGAATTAAGCGCACGTTATTTATAATTTATAATTTATAATTATATTCAGACCTAGGAAAAACATTCCACTTGCATTTCTCATGACTTAATTTTAGAATTCACAAAGAGCTCTTCATTAAAGGGGAAGATATCGTCTAAGTATTGTCCTCTGGGATAAAAAAAAGTACGTTACCATGTTTTCTTCGGGAATAGGGTGAAATTGAGGGTGGGGAGCGATATTAAAACTAGAAATCGATCACGATCTGAGATGATACCCCTCGTAAGCGCTGATGAGAGCGCGACTTGGCCTTTGCTGTCTGCGACGGTTTATACAGCCCACTCCCAAACGCTACTTCTGCAAAAGGAAGTCTAGCCTCTGTAGCAGCCGTGTCTTTTCAGCCTCTCTCCAGGAAAGAGAGCTGGGGCAAAACAGAGGAAACAGTTAACACGAAGGTGGGCGCCCAGGGCCCCCTCGGTCAAGAAAACTTGGAACTCATCTCACGAGGTCACGTGGGAAACGTCTAGCCTGCTACGCTCTGAATTGAGATCCACGTTTGGGTCAAGGGTTTTTGGGAAAACCTTTTCTCCTTCCGAAAATTGTTTTCTTACTTTGTAGAAACAGGCAACTATACCTGTGAATTCTGTGGCAAGCAGTACAAGTACTCCACGCCATCCCAGGAACACGTGGCCCTTCACGCACCAATCCGTGCGTATCCAGCTGTGACACAGCAACCGGGGAGACCCCGGGATCCAGGATCTTTCAAGGCAGAGGCCAATCGCACCTCTAAAGCGATCACGAGGGACAGACCAGTACCGGCATATCTCCCTGATAGCTGTCCTTTGGGGATATACTTTGAGAGAAGGAGTTGTTCCTATTTCAGTGCAAATAGTCAGGCCAGATTGCCTATAATTGTTAATACTATATTAAACCGTAAATAAAATTATACCTGTATTTTGCAGTTTACACATTTTTGTCCATGTAGATTTTTCAGCTGGACCCATCACCTGCTTACGGCTTATATAAGATACCGTAGCTGTTTCTTCTCAGTAAATTGAAATATTCAAAAGCGCGGGAACCCCATTCGCTTACCGGTTGCAGCCATCCACTTCCAAGGACCGGCCCCTCGGTCCCATTCTCCTCCCTGCACCCGTCCCTAGTCAGAGGGACCGCCTCCGTCCTCCACCACCTCTTCCGCTAGGCCCCCCGGGCTCCTTTGCCCTCCGAATCTCCAGCGGCAGTCTTGACCCTCTTACTCAGTTAAAGCCCGCTCTGATTTTGCTTTCCATCGGACCGGTTGAAAGCCCAAGAAGTAGGACAGGAAAGCCTCCTTCAGCTCAAGCATCTAGCCCTCATCGCCCCAGGCAGCACGTAGCCTCATGACAAACAGTCCCCTCCATCGTCCCCCCTTTCAGTGCATTGAGGTCGGTGGCCATCACCTGGTCCCCACGGAAGCAGATTCTGTACGTTAACGCTAATTTCTTGAGGAAAGACTTTCTTTGGCCTGTCCTGATCCGTTAGGACTGCTGTTTTGAGTGGGAGAACGGCATCCTCCCCTTCACGTCTGCACCTCAGCACGTGGCTCTTTTTCTAAAATGAATAGCCCCAGTCTTGTAATCTGGGGGTTTTGCGGGCAAGTGCTGTTGCAGAGGCTTCGTAGGGAAATCGGTAGTGTCAAATTCAACGCATCCTTCTGTCTTCTTACGCTGCGGAGAAGATTGCCTGTAGCCTGCCACAGTCTCC